AGAGATACGAATTTAGATTAAGGTATGCCACTTTTCCGCTGTGTATTTAAAAGTGAAAGCAGTATGTCTGTCAAAATTCCAAATCATATTAGCTACCTCATCACATCAACTTTAACATCTACATCCTGAACGTTTCCTTCGAACAGTTGTAGTATATATTACTTTTCAAAGAAATAAAACCATAAGGTCATGTAATTTGAAATAATTTGAAAAATATTGTTTGCTTTCCGGTATCTGGCTCTCTTAAAAAATAGTCATACTGTTTTTAGACCAGAAATATATAAAAATAGTTTCAGTCCTTTAGTTATACTTGTTACAATTGTTAAAACTAGCCATCATTTTAAACAACCATTAACAAATTATCACGTAAAGTATAAGGAAGAGAAAGCTGTTCTAAGTGTTATGTTCCACGGACAACCTTTTCATTTGTTTGATATTTTTTTCTTATTCCGATTTTTTTCTCCCATTTTTAGCAGTTTAAAAAGTAAAGACTAGATCTATCAACGTTTTTATAATCTTTATTTTGTACCCATCTGCAATGGCGCATTATTTGTGCAAAGTGATCGAAAATTGAAAGCAAAAACAACAAAACGAACAAACAAAAGTAACTTAATATAAGTGATGTTTTTAATTTTGAATTAGTTGCATTGGGTCAGTATTTCTCCAGTTTGCTGTTGGTCACGTGACTTTTCAAACATAATGAAATATTACAAGATATTTTGTTATATTTTGACTTACACATAATTGTATAATATTCAATAGTCTCAAATAATTCTTATGATATAAGTTCTTGTGCAAGTAATGTGTTTTACTGTGTATGTTTCGGGTGAGACTTTATTTACCAATTTAACTTTAAGAACTAGAGTCTAAAAATAGTTAATAATAAGAGGATATTTTTTCATTTGAGTGAAATATGGAATACTTTTTTACAAAACATGATAAAATGCCACATATATTCACAAGCCGGGACGGCGAGTGAAAATATGTGGTATTTTATCATGTTGAGTGAAAATATATACCATATTTCACGAAAAACGAAAAAATAACCTTTTAATTTAATTATAAAAGAAAAATGGTTATGAGCCCCCTTGCTTGTTACGCAACTGCAATTGTACAGCGCGCAGTAATATAGATGCGTCTTGTTTTGCGCTACATTGTGACGTCACGTAAACAACCATTTAAACGCCTGTACAGCGTTAATGACTGAATTAAAGATATTGGTGTTCGGATTTATTTTCTTAGACCATTTTCTATCATTCTAGATAGTTTTCAAAACGAAATTCAACAAAAAGTTGTTTTGTATTTATCAGATTTTTCAAACAAAATGCCAAAGAAGTCCCTTAAAATAAATATGAGTTTTGACTCCGCCCACTTTCATATTTATATTTCATATTTATTTTTAAAAATTATGAAATATATTTGACTGAAATAGCACCATATATCATGGATGAAATTAAATAATTTGCACATGTAGATACATAAGCATTCGTATGTACAGAAGGTTTAAGAATCTGCTTTTTCTGTAATAACTAAACAGAACTGATACAACATAAAAACCATATTGCACAAATGGAGTTTTACTTTCCTATTGTGTTGTATAATAGTTTATATATTATTGATAATTTCTTGTTCACTTTTTCATGTGTTTAACAGTTTTGTTAATGACATTGTTTGATATCTGTAAATATATTTGATATCTTGTAATACGTATTGGTTTAGGTTTTAAACTAGTACATAATTATTATCATTCATAAATAAGGGAAGTAAATCTGTAGTGCATAAAGATATGGCATGTCTGATATATCTATGGGCTATGGAGTTGTCCCTCTTGTCTGAAATAGAATGCTAACATCTATATTCAAAGTACGCGTTTCAAAAGATGCTTTCAGAAATTGCAAATAAATTTAATACTGTAAAACATATTTAGCAAAGATAATAATACGAATGCTATGTTCGCCGCCCTGATAGTTTTTTTTTTCGAGATTTCTTCGATTGAATGAAGGGGTTTATTACACAATCATATAGAATTGTCATTAATAAAATATCAAAAGAAACTTACTCGTTTAGGAAATGGTCAAATGGTTCCGTGATAAGGGGGTTCAGAAAACTAGTATTGCCCAATTTTTGTCAAGGTATGTGTTTTTTGGTTTTAACTGAAAATAATGTTTTCTAATGAGCGCATATAAGAAAATACATTAATCAGGTTTTGCACGGTATATTTCCAATACTTTGGCCCCTTGGTAATGTTAAAAATGTTTTATTCTGATTAAGCCGGTGGTAGGGGCGCCGATGATAGCTTGCACGCACCACTTCTGTTCATGAATAGGCTCAATCGAACCGAGCCTGCATCATTTTCAGTTTTGTTTCATTAAGTGTTCTTTAGAGATTTCCTTTGTTCTATTTTTACTGTTGATGTGTTTAGTTTCGATGTGTATTTATGATAAAGAAACCCTTTAAAATAGCAATGCCCGATATAAAAGACTGATAGTCTGGTATTCAAGTCATTAGAGTAAATATCGAGGTGACCTTATGACCGAGAATAATATAACGAAGCTTGGTGTGTGATTATACACAAGCGCTGATTGTTCGAGTATCTAAGCTCTTTCTTTACAAGTGCAGCTAAAAGTCATAAGGACAATAAAATACGTATTTAATATAGAAAATTATCATCCGTTACTTACTATCTAAATATGATCATTTATTAAACCTCTCCACATCATTAACAATGATTGTTGGCGGCATCCATTTCTAGTTATGAATCTCATTAAAAGCATAAGAACCAGTCTACAAAAATTGTTATGCGAATTATCTGCTTAAATTACTAATGTACGACATAACTTAATTAAACGAAAACTTCACATCGAGGTGAACAAATCCAAAGAGGAAAAAATAAAAAAAAATATCGGAAAGTACCATTCATGTTACATTTACCACTAACAGTGGTTAATTCTGTTCTTAATTCTTACGACTGAATTAATTGATAATTATTCTCTGAATAGCGTTTAACAATTTCATGTTTCGAAAAATAGTAACAGGTAATACTATACTACAATCTCACTGTTATATGACCGACTGAATCGTGTATCGATATAAAACTGACCCCTTAACTTCGGACACATCTTTGATCATGCCTATTATGAGCTTATATCTGGAGACAGACAAAATATTAATACTTACTTTCTTGCAATTTGAACAATCAAACTAATATTCCACACCTGCAAAAAGACCTCTTGCATACTTCTTTTTAAAGATGCAAACTTTTTGATTTCAGATGCCATTCCATTGCATATATTTTAGGTGGCTTTTCGAAAGGTCGTAGCCTCAAGCTTAGTCAGTAGGAAAATTGATTGTAATATCGATGCAAAACTATAGAAGAATTTGGTTTTTTAGATTACACGAGTATGATCCAAAATATCGCATTATAGATTTGATGTAATTTTTTTCATTTGTTTTGTTTCTTGTATCTTTCACAATTGCAGGTGACTGACTACTGCTCAGATTTTCTTTTCTTTAGCATGTTTTGTAGTTTTTCTATAATCAATTTGATTCGTTTTGCCAATTATTTGTATACATTTTTTATCTTAAAATATTTTTCTTCGTAAAATAATCGAATATTTATTATAGGTAATTATTTAACCGTATAAAATTCAATTAAAGTAGCATTTTACATACACTAGAATATTGATAGAACTTGTGACGCCGAGCCGAAATGATGAAACCTCAAAATCAGGTGAGGGATATAAGGGCAATCATGCATGGCCTTCTTGTTTAATTGATTTTTGTACTACCATAGAGTTGTACTATACGTTTAAGCACCCAATTGTCTAGCTATTAATACCCTTTAAAGTTTAACCATGAACATTGTGCTTATCCCCCCCCCCCAAACATAGTTAACGCTTTATTTGGATTAAACATATTATTTATGCTCGATTGCTAAACAAGTTCTTGCAACTTTCATATATCATCTTCCAGTCCGCTTCCTAGAACCAACCAGTACAGGTGTCATATGAAGTAACGTGGTCGCGACCCGAATAGGGCTCGAACCCACGATCACTGAGGTGAGAGGCAGACATCTTAACCACTAGGCTACCACTCCACTTTGACCAAAATCCACTTTATTTCATTGAAGTTGTTCAACACATTGTCCTTATGGGCTGTCTTATTGAAAATTTTCATTCAGTCGCCTTTTCATAACAGAGTGTCTCTTTTACCTGGAATAATGCTGAAAATGGTATCACGACAGCTGCTAAGCTGTTTGACATTTTTAACATTGTGTGGCAGGGATCAAACGTTTGGCGAAGGTACTTACTTACAATTTACATCAGATTGTTAGCTATGTAAGTTTTACTTGGGAAATAACAATCAACACTTTTATAATAAGAATTACATGAACTTTATTAACATGGTGTTGTCAGCAAAAGGAATCACATATTTATATGCATATGATAGAATTTTTATACAGAGCAAAGTTAATGTAGTTAACCACTTTAGTACATTGTTACATTAAAGCCTAGGCCGAGCACATAAATAAACATTAAATAATCTGACCAAAGAAAAGTACAGAAAAAAGCATGGATATGTACAAAAAATAAAAATCTTGTTATAGATAGAATGAACAAATTATTCATGATACAATAAACAAATACAACATGACACTTGCTTAGTAGTAAAATAAATAAACTTGTTAAAGCTTATTACAATATATACATGTAGGTAAATATGGTATAGAAATGTTCAAAAATATATATTATTATAGTTACAATAAGTCTTACTTTCAAACGAAATTTAATAACTATTAGAACAATGATTTACGTTTTGAAAGGTGTGTGCATATATTTTTACAGAGACAAAAAACAACAACAGGAAAACATTTTTTATTTGACAACTTTTTTTTCCTTTACGTTATTTACATGTAAAACAATGTTGAAGCCGTGCATACAATTATAAACTATATCCTTAAACCAATCATTCGCCTAATAAACTATTGTAATGGATTTGAATTTGGAACAGTGCATTCAAACTTTAAGGGATTTCAAGGTATGAAATTAACAACAATCGTACAACGAGTTGATTAATTCTTATTTATTGCCTTAGTATCAAAAAGTAACGTACGTAGGCCGTGCGACGTATATCAGCAAAATGTTTAGATCTTAACAAAATTAGTAAACAAAAATTCAAAGTGTTAAAACTAAATATAAATTGAAGAAATTTTGAAAGCACATGTACATTCATTGTACCAATAAATATATTCTTTAAAATCCAATTATAATTAACGTTTCGTAAACGTGTCTGAATGCCTGACCTAAACATACTGAAATAAGTTGTATGAAGAAAAATCTTCCAGTATTGCATTTATGTACTGAATATTATTCATGAACATAGAAAGTCAGGTGTAAAGTCCCCGACCACAACGATCAGTATTTGGTCAGCACCCAAAGTCAATCATAACACTGAATAATTCGCTTGTTCTTTAGTCATAACCACGACTTTATTTGCATGTAATTAACAGTGTCCTAACATAGCAGATTTATCGCCTGACTAGATCTCATGCATATACAATGTATACACGAGAAGGATGTGTAAATAAATTGTCAAAACTAAATTTTTTTTGCTGTTAATAACTTTTACATTGATTTCCCTTAAATTCTACACATTTTCCATTCTTTTGAAAGTTTAAAGTATGTTAATATACTACATGTTCTTTGCTAATTTCACAAATTGAGACATGTAATGATGTACATGTAATATCATGCCACTTTACGCCGTGGCTGTACAAAGTAATAAACAAACAAAGATCATTTGATCCGTTGTGTGGTTCACTAATTGACCACTTGAAGAACCCTTTTTGAGATCCATATGTGTACTTCCATGGAGAACTAACATCTTTACGATGTCCGTCTATCCAGATCCATCTGTTAGTATTGAGGTCTGTTAGAAGACTACTAACATCATTATATTTCAATTCAGAGTCAATATTCACCAGATGACCACCATCTTTCTGACAATGCTTTTCTGCTTCTTTTTTCACTTTTTTGTCTGAATAAAATTTGATGCAAAATCCATTCTTTGTGATATTATATCCATTAGGACAATATCCAATACAAATTCCAAACTCTTTCTCTGTTCTGCTGTTTGAGTGTATCTCACATCTTGTCTTATTCACATTGCATTGACGTGTCCTGACTTTTGAACCTATCTGACCAAAGCGAGCCACGCAAACGGACCACACACTCCAGTCTGAACATGGGTGTAGTTTACAAATTTCCTTTTCAATGTTGTCAATTGTCTTACCTATCATTTGTAACATAGGTAATTTGAGTTTCTTTCCTATCTCCATTAATTTCTCGCCGTTCAAATCACCAGCATTTGTACCATTCTCATAAGAGAAAGGTGCACAGTTAATACTCGAAGCAGTCACATAAAAAATAACAAGCATCAAGATTTTGTTATTGTAACAATCCATTTTGCTTACTTTCAGAATTGGTTTTATTTAAACTCAACTCGCCTAAGCTGTTTCAAGTCATAAATGAATTTGAGAGCGTGAGATTGAACTTATGTTTTAAAGATGAACAAATGGTTGTGAATTTACGGGGCGTAGCAATACAGTAAATTATATGACATTTATTTTCTGGCATCATTTATTATTCCACATATCATCATTAAAGCAGCATGTTTCCAGATTCATGCTATTTTTCATGAACATTTGTAAGAAAAATACATTCAATCAAACAAACAATATTGTACGCATTGTAATCAGCACCATAAATTACATACAGCAATAAATGTCAAAAATATGCAAAAATAGATAAATTAATAAATAAATAAAATGAAACATGACAGGTTGAGTTTTTTAACAATTCTTTGGCTCATCTGACGGCATGCAACTTTACTTATTCCTGCTCAAATCGCATTGTTTTTATCAAATATAAATCATCAAAATGTTATAATTTAAGCTTTGTGATAATCCGATGTAAATTGTAGCATAACTTTTAATGGTTTCCACTTTTCAAACCAACAACATTTCTGTACCAAAATGACTTTGACTGTTTGCATTTTACCATATTGGGGCCGTTTTGAACAAAATTAGAAACGGTTTGACTGTACGAGTTTATGGTCTTGATATGAAATTCTGTACCATCAATTGACTTACCTTTGCAAATAGTATTATAATTCCATCACAACCACTGATGAGCAAATCAGTCATTGCCTTTCTTTCGCAACCGCTGACTGTCAAAGCAATTAGTACCAAACACCTCCCATAGCAACCTTTAACTTACAATAGCAACCATAAACTTAATTACAAAAGCAACTTATGATTTACATAGCAACTTTTGACTTTCCATAGCATCTAAATATTTCTATAGCGACCATTGACTGCCCTTAGAAACTTGTGCCTTTCATAGCAATATCTTTTTTCCCTTTACAATTACTGTGATTTTCATAGCAACCGGCGATTTTCCTCAGCAACCAGTAACTTGCATTGAAGTCTTTGACTTTACATAGTAACAAGTGACTTTTTTACCTTTCTTAAAAACTAGCCTTTTTATCTTTCTGGTGTAAGTATTACATACAACGATTTTTGTCATCAATGAGTACAGTTTAACATGCCAATGATATCTTTTTATCAACTGACCTAGATTTTCCCCAAGTGACCTGCTTTTTGTAATTCGAGCCAAAGCTGTTTAATTTAAAGATGCTGGACTTATTTTTGGCTTTGTTACCTTCGTGTTTGGAGTATGGACCTTTAAAACAATAGGACATGCAATGGAAATTTTATAACTGTTGATTATGTCGCAGTGAGTTAATTTTTGTGTCGCCTTGAAAAGGCGACATATCGGGATTACTTTTGTCGGCGGTGTCGGCGTCGTTGTCGGCGTCCCCTAAAGCTTGTCCAGAACATAACTCAGTCACTTTAAGTTGGATTGACTTCAAACTTGGTATGCATGCTTCTTTCAATAACACGAAGTGCAGTGCACAAGGACCGGTACTCTGCACTTTTTAATTTTTGAGTTATTGCCCTTTGTAAATTTTCATACTTTAATTTTGTCCGGACCATTTTTCAACTATAAAGCTATGGACATGAAACTTCATATGATGATAGATCTCATTAAGAAGAAGTGCAGTGCACAATAATAGGTACTCTGCATTTCCTAATTTTTGAGTTATTTCCCTTTGTTAATTTTCATACTTTATTTTTGTCTGGGCCATTTCTCCTAATGTATAACAGCTATGGACTTGAAACTTCATAGGATGATAGATCTCATTAAGAAGAAGTGCAGTGCACAGGAACAGGTATTCTGCATTTCTTAATTTTTGAGTTATTGCCCTTTGTTAATTTTCATACTTTATTTTTGTCCGGACCATTTCTCCGAAAGTATATAAGCTATGGACTTGAAACTTCATAGGAGGATAGATCTTATTAAGAAGAAGTGCAGTGCACAAGAACCGGTACTCTGAATTTCTTATTTTTTGAGTTATTGTCCTTTGTTAATTTTCGTACTTTATTTTAACCAGGTCATTTCTCCTCAAGTATGAAATCTATAGACATGAAACTTCTTTGGAGGATAGATCTCATTAAGAAAAAGTGCAGTGTACAAGAACCGGTACTCTGCCTTTCTTATTTTTGAGTTATTACCCTTTATATATTTTCATATTTTATTTTTGTCCAGGCCATTTCTCATAAATTATAAAAGATATGGACTTGAAACTTCATAGAATGATAGATCTTATTGATAAGAAGTGCAGTGCATAGAAACTGCTGCTCTTCACTTATAATCTTTTGAGATATTGCCCTTTGTTAGTTTTTGTATTTCATTTAACCAGGTCATTTCTCCTCAAGTATGAAAGCTATAGACATGAAACTTCTTAGGATGATAGATCTCATTAAGAAAAAGTGCAGTGTACAAGAACCGGTACTCTGCATTTCTTATTTTTGAGTTATTACCCTTTATATATTTTCATATTTTATTTTTGTCCAGGCCATTTCTCATAAATTATAAAAGATATGGACTTGAAACTTCATAGAATGATAGATCTTATTGATAAGAAGTGCAATGCATAGAAACTGCTGCTCTGCACTTATTATTTTTTGAGCTATTGCCCTTTGTTAGTTTTCGTATTTCATTTTTGTCCTGGCCATTTCTCCTAAACTATATTGTTCACAAGGCGACACATCCGACTGGCGGAGTTCTAGTTTATATTGAGAGCTTCTTTTATAAAATTTAGAATATGTGCAATATTTAGATGTAAATGTGAACTTTTATATCGGTTGGTCTAAATTTTAACCTAATACTTAGTATTTGCTTTTCATTCATAGTTATCAATATTAATTTCTTTTTGCCAGTTAGAACTTTAAATGTCTCGTGAGCAATATAGGGCCTTTATGACCTTCTAGTTTTCCATTCAACCTCTTTTTTACATATACAAGGCAAAAGTTGAAAAATATCAATTTGAATGAGACAGACTGAAGTCGTTTTAAATGCGCAGATCGCGTGCGGACACTAAATCTGCTATTTGTATACTATCATGCATACCATCGACAGGGGCGTACCTTGGCATATTTGAAGTTCACGCAAAGTAGAATATTTGGGCAAAAGAGTCGCTAGTACCAGGGGATAAGTGTAGAACTGGCAGTGTTTTATCAGCTACTATAAATGTCATAAAATTAGAATTATATATATTTTCATATAAAGGTATGAGAATAGTTATAAGTACTAAAGAAAAAAAATACATGTACATGTATATAGGCTTACTTGTACACTGCTTTAAATATTTCAAATGTTTAAAACTTTTGCGAAAACAAAAAAGGCAATCTATCTCTTTTGTTATCAAGTCTGGGTTTACTTCCTTCTTTTAACAAAGTGTTTTGTACGTGTGTTGTTATGTTTGAAACTGAAACATCAGATATAATCAAGGAAGATATCATAAAAAAGACACAAAAGCCTGTCTTTCGTTAGTGTAACAATACGCTGTAATACATTATCAACTTCTTTGTATCGCGCGTCAATTAAGGTTCCTTAAAATACTTTTTAACCTGCGTGTTATGTGGCTGTTAATGAATTACTGCTTTTTAAAGTTTTTTTCTTTACATTATCGCTTCAGTTTTAAGCCGATATATTTAACAAATATTTGACTGTTAAGTTATTTTGTCCTTTGCACATTTATAATAAGGTGATCCTCAAATCAATTAATTGCTATCTAATGTCTCTAAAGCGGAAAAATCTCAACAGAAAAGGGCATACCTTAAAAGAATAGCACTGGTCCTGTTGATAGTTGGTATCCGACGATGGTCGATAATTATTATTCTTTTGCTAATGTTTTCTTATTTTTTAGAATGAGGCACCAACTTTACATAACATATCTTCGAATCTATGTTATAAAGAAACAAATATAGAAATCTAAGCAATGACACTAAGGATAAATTAATTAAGGGAGTAATTCATTACACTAACATTCTAAAGATGTACCTTCTAATCCTGACAATGTGGATAAAAGACATATATACATATAAATTACTTTTAAGAAATGAGGGAGGTAAATTCTGCAGTGCATAAAGATAGGACACGTCTGTAATATTTATGGCTATGGAGTTGTCTCTCTTGTCCAAAACTGAATTGGACTGATTTATACGTGCTTTATTTCTCAATCAAAAATATGTTTGGGTACTGTCTGTCGTTTTTGTTTTATATGTACTTACGGTTCTAATTGAGAGCTTCTAGTGCATTCATATTATACGTTATATATGTTTACTATAGGAATCAGTTTACTTTCTCTAGGCCCTCATTCAGTTACCTTTAATTCTGATGTTTTTATTTATTAGGTAAACGTGTTCTGACTCGCTAACTAAAAGATATTTTAAGTACAAGCTTTTAAACTACTTTTAGCGTGACACGTTATGTAAATATCATTAACCACTGAACGTCAGCACTCGCATTTTACACAAGCCCATAAATTTAGTGCACAAATCAAGACACATAAAGCTTCTTGCAGTTTGCGGGATCATGCGTATGTTCCTCAATTTTTAATTGAACACATTGTACATGTTTAGTTTTGCTTAAGCCGATGCTAGGGTACGTGGACGGTATATCACATAAAGCACTTCCATTCATGAAAAAGATTAAAAACATTTTTATCTTTGCCATTTCGGAGGTTATTGATGGTTCCATTCTTGTTTGAAGACAGCATCTCGTTTGGTTTTTCTAGCAAGCTCATAATGCCTTTCTTTTCAATTAAGGATACAATGTAGTTGCTCGGGTACTTGCTCGCTTGCATGCATGTTGAAAATTTCCGCTTCAATTATTAATTAGCATTCGGAACTGCCTCGGCTATTATCTATAATATTGTAATGATATCAAGATTAGATAACTCTTTACATGTTTAGTTGTATATTAATGGGATTACTTCCCTTTACTTGATATTCATTAATGCTATGTTATATATATGATTATGCCTCTCTGATACCTGGGTCATTCTAACTTGAGGTCTGGTCTTAACAACATGTATTAAATGGTTATAATAAATAGTAGAATAGTTTGAATCTTGTTATCATCCATACAACATAAC